CCCAAAAAACAACCGATTCCAACCTAAATATTAACCCGCTTGACCGTCACATAGACATTATACTGAGACTATTTGGCTTTCAAACACAACCCCATCTCTCTGTTTCACTCTGTTGACTCTTTTTCTCTCTCCTCGGGAGTTTGTGAGAGAGAAAGAGAGAGAGAGAGAGAGAGAGAGAGAGAGAGAGAGAGAGAGAGAGAGAGAGAGAGAGAGAGAGAGGGGGGGGGGTGGTGGTAGGCGTGGGAAGTGAGGAAAATTAGTGTAAAGTAGTGTCCTTCCTAAAAAACACAATGTCATAGGGCCTAGCTGAACCTCGAATCCCCGAGCGAACTGTAACCTCACGATTACGGGTCCAGTTATCAAACCACTAGTTTACTAACGCCACCAAAAATTATTAAATCCAGAAAGTTTTTAGTTTTAGTAGAGGTTTTACGGCGCTCGCAACTGCATAAGGTCAAATGAGCACCAAGAGGTGGATGTCAACAGAGAAGTCCGTACAGGGAATCGGGCTTACTCTGCTGCCCTCTCTAGCTTCAACATCACAAAGTCTGCTTCGACTATCAAGGCACCCCGGAAAAAGCGGGTGACAAGAGTGTGACAAACATGAAAAAGAAGTAGAGGAAAAATGACGATAGTAAGGATTAGGAAAGAAAAAGCAGCAGTTCCTTGTTGCCGTTCAGGCACAATACTGAGCATGATATTGATGAATCAGTCCATTTCTGATTACAATTCTACTGCGAATAAGAACACGGTTAATGTCCCCCCTTTAGGAATTGCCAAAAGACACTTAAGTCAGTAGCATCACCGCGGGGTTAGAGGCCCGGAAAGGAAACTGATTACTGAAATTAAAAGTTATGCTCGTTGACATGCTTGTGCTTTTTCTGCAGTAAACAAATTATATAAGAACAGTCTCTAATGTTCTCAAAGGGCCAGCAGAATACCTTTTAGACTTTCAGAAACGACGGCGGGTTTGACGACGTTTAAAAGAGCATTAGCAGAGAGTCATAATACGGCTGAACGAGACTGAATCGCCACCATTGCCTTTCTTTACCTGGATCAGGTCGACATACACTTTCAATTTTACCCTACCTTGTGCTCGCTTCTTGACACCATCGCACATCTTTCTGCGTTTCTGTAATCTCTCTCTGTGACTCTACTCCAGGTTCCACGTGGCCTGCCCTCTGGTCTTTTACCCAGTGGATTCTAATCTAACACTTTATATGCTTCAACTGTCTGGCTTTCTAAGGGTATGTCCAACCCATCGCCACCGCCTTCTTCCAACTTCATCTCCGACTGGGTTTTTTCCTGTTCTACTGAACATTTTCTTGTTCAACTGGTTCTCCATAATGTTTTAAGACACTTGTTGAAAAAAATCGGGACTCTTCTAATGCAATTCAGAGATGCGTTCCATATCCCCGGCCCGTAAAACAAGACTGACGTCAAATTTGATTTGAAAATCTTCAGGGTTTGTTCGAAGTGAGTCATTCGTGGTCCTCCAAACACTGTTCAAATACATGAAATCAGACTGTATTTTTCCGATGCAGAACTTATTAATCATTACTTCTGTTCCTGCCTCTCTTTCAGTTATACTTCCAGGATAGCAGAAGGAACGAATGTTTTTTTTTCATGGTGCTAACTTTCCACGACACGATCTGGACTGTTCAGAGGAGAAGGTTTGGGATTAGTAGAATCTTTGTCCATTGTTTTTAAACCACCGTGTTGGAACAGAATCTCTTGTCTCCAACGAACCATGAAAAATTAGGCATGTTTACTTTTTGTCTCCGTAAGTTTTCTTTTTTTTTTTCAGGGTCTACAACCTCTATTTAGGCAACTAGACCTACGAGCTTTAGTTGCCTCTTTTGACGCGTAGTATCACGGTAGGTGTTGTACTTTACTCCCGCATAGTGGAACTAATGTGCCCCTTGCCTGCCTGGCTGTGAAGGCCAGCAATATTATTTCTAAAGAAGTGTCTTTCAAGCAGACAACAACAGCTCCACAGTATGCCCTCAATAAAGCCAAGGAAAAAAAGAAAAACTAGTATTTATCGAAAGCGATAAAACTGTGTATTGATATTGAATACACAGGGGAAAGAGAAAAAGATAGAGAGCGAGAGAGAGAGAGAAAGAGAGAGAGAAAGAGAGAGAAGAAAGAGCAAAGAGATAGATAGAAAGGTACAGAGAGAGAGAGAGAGAGAGAGAGAGAGAGAGAGAGAGAGAGAGAGACAGACAGACAGACAGACAGACAGACAGACAGAGAGAAATACTATACGTACAGCCACGAGTGTTTATTTAGAAGTAGAAGGAGTCTCTACACTTTTACTTCTACTTTTTTTTATCCTCCCTTGTCGGTGGGCGTTGAGGG